GATATGTTTCTGATCAGGTAATTTAATTTTTATTTCAATCTCAATCTCAAATGTAGTTTTTGAAACAAACTTGTCTTTGACTTCAACATAAAACCCTTTAGTATGTATTTGTCATCAAAAATTAAAGGAATATAATATTTTAGAATAAATTATCACCGAAAAATTATGAAGCAATAATTGTGGTGTGGATGGCGAAGAAAAAATTGCCTTTGAATTATTTCGATGACGACGACTCTCAACATTTTTTTCATATTTTAAATCCCAACAACACAGTACCATGACGTAATTGTGCTCGGCGAATGGTGATGGAGCATTTTCACATGCAACGATTGAGAGTGAAGGAAATTTTGAGCAAAAACTGTTCTAAATTTTCATTCACTGTTGAGGGTTGGACTTCAATGAACTTTAGGTCATATTACGGTATAACAATTCACTTCATCGATGATAATTGGCAGCTGCATTCTTTAGCTTTAGATTTTATTCCTTCTTGTGGTCGACACAGTGGAAAAGATATCGCGGAAGTTTTTTTTAAATGCATTACAGAATACGGGTTACAAAATAAAATTCAAGGAATAACCGTCGATAATGCAGCGGCCAACACTACATTTATGAGTGAATTGCATATTTTGATGGCAAAAAATGATCTATTGTTTGATCATGTAAATCAACATTTTCGTTGTTTTGCTCACATTTTGAACCTTGGAGTTCAAGATATTTTAAAAATGTTGAAAGTGGATTTTGAATCCGAAAGTATTATTCCGGACATCGAAGTAGACGATACAGATGATGACGATTTAAGTGAAAATGAATGGACTGAAATCAATGATTTTAGTCCATCATCTGCACTTTGTAAATTGCGTCGTACATTTATTAAAATAAGAAAATCTGAGCAGTTACAAAATAAATTAATCGACTTTTGTAAAATAACGACAACAAGATATATTAAACCTATTTTAGATATTAAGACTAGATGGAACAGTACCCATGATATGATTGAAGTCGGTATTAATTTAAAAAATAGTTTAAATATATTTTGGCTCAGTGAGGAAAATAATAAAAGTATAGCAATGTTAAAACTAAGTGAGAATGAATGGGTATTGCTTGAACAGATATACATATTTTAAAAAATTTTAAAATAGTGTCAAACGCAATTTGTGGGGAAAAATATGTGACGCTACCAATTGTTGTAGTTGCTTTTAACATGCTTATCTCGGATATTGAATCGACAATTTCGGAGTTAGACAATAAGGCAAATCGCACTATTGTCGACGAAACTCTTTTAATTGCTTTTCAAGCATCAAGAGATAAGATGTTAAAGCACTACAAAAACCAATTGGGTTTATTGTTCGAGTTTAATTTTAGATCCTCGACACAAAATTGAATTGTTTGATAAAACTAATTGGGGAAAAGAATTAAAACATGCAGCTATCCAATGTTTCGAACTATTTTATAAGGAATATGCGAAAAACACCCTCGAGCAACCTATTGACACGATAATTGAAAGAAATACCAATTCAATTAAAAAATGTATTGACATTAATAGCCTATATAGGACATCCAATAGATCTTCGAAACATTGGAAAGCTCAGTTTGAAGAGTATTTGCTGTTAGACACAGCGGATAGAACCAAAAATATTTTGGAATGGTGGAAGGAACATGAGAAAGTGTTTCCTACACTTTCAATGATGGCCAAGGATTTATTCAGCACAATGGCTACATCAGTACCTGTAGAAAGGTTATTTTCTACAGCAGGTATGATTATGACAAGTAAACGTTCATCATTAAAAGATGATGTAATGCAAGCGTTACTCTGCTTAAATTCTTGGTCATCATGCAGTTTAAAAGATAAAATTAGAAGTAGGTAAAATAGGTAGGTAGAATAGGTAAATTTATGTTAATTAGGCTTTTTTCAGTGAGGAAGTGTATATAAGTATATATAAGTATATATAAGCATAAGTGTATATAGATCTTGTCAAATAAAATTTATGCTATAATCAACTCGATTATTGTACCCTAGCGTACATTGTATCCTAGTTTATTCTATATTTTCAATTAAAAGTGATACTTATTATTTTAATTTTTAATTGTGATAATTAATATTTTATTATGATAATATATATTTTATTTACCTATGTATGTATTTTTGGAGTAATTAAATGATTTAAACTTTTGAACTGCAAAGATCTTCAATGTTTTCTTTACACTTAAAACCATTAAATGTGAAAAAAAAATTATAAGAACAAAGGCTTCACGGGTATCGCGAGACTTTTCTCGTATCGTCTCGGTCTCGTATCGCTTTTACGAGACGATACCGAGACCGAGACGATACTGTTGATAGTCTCGTCCAGTCTCGTCTCGTGTGAAGCCCTACAGAGTGTTTTAAAATTCACACAAATCGTAAAAGTTTCAGAGCAATTTTAAGGCATTTCTAGCGTGATTTCAAGGGTCGCCAATGTCGCATCATATAAAATGCCTATCGTTTTATCTAAATTTGAAAATATCATTAAAATCGCACAAACGGTTCCCGAGATACAGCCAAATTTCCACAGAGTGTTTTGAAAATTCACACAAATTGTAAAAGTTTCAGAGCAATTTTAAGGCATTTCTAGCGTGATTTCTGGAGGCGGCAATGCCGCATCGTATAAAATGCCTATCGCTTTATCTAAATTTGAAAATATCATTAAAATCGCACAAACGGTTCCCGAGATACAGCCATATTTCCACCGACTGTTTTGAAAATTTACACAAATCGCATAAGTTTCAGAGCAATTTTAAGACATTTCTAGCGTGAATTCAGGGAGCGGCAATGTTGCATCATATAAAATGCCTATCGTTTTATCTAAATTTGAAAATATCATTAAAATCGCACAAATGGTTCCCGAGATACAGCCAAATTTCCACCGAGTGTTTTGAAAATTCACACAAATCGTCTAAGTTTCAGAGCAATTTTAAGGCATTTCTACCGTGATTTCAGGGAGCGGCAATGTCGCATCGTATAAAATGCTTATCGCTTTATCTAAATTAGAAAATATCATTAAAATCGTACAAACGGTTCCCGAGATACAGCCAAATTTCCACCGAGTGTTTTGAAAATTCACACAAATCGTATAAGTTTCAGAGCAATTTTAAGGCATTTCTAGCTTCATTTCAGGGGGCGGCAATGTCGCATCGTATAAAATGCCTATCGTCTTATCTAAATTTGAAAATATCATTAAAATCGCACAAACGGTTCCCGAGATACAGCCAACTTTCCACCAAGTGTTTTGAAAATTCACACAAATCGTTAAAGTTTAAGAGCGATTTTATAACATTTCTAGCGTGATTTCTGGGGGTGGCAATGTCGTATCGCATAAAATGCCTATCGCTTTATATAAATTTGAAAATATCATTAAAATCGCACAAACGGTTCCCGAGATACAGCCTAATTTCCACCAAGTGTTTTAAAAATACAGACAAATAGTAAAAGTTTAAGAGCGATTTTAGGGCATTTCTAGCGTGATTTCAGGAAGCGGCAATTCGATTTGAAATAGAGAATCTCTGTGCGCGATAGTTTTGAAGTGTTAATCATATTTAGGAAAAGGAGTTGCAGAACTTATACTAGTACCTACATCGATTATAAACATAGCATTTTAGTCAAATACTTCAAAGCACGTTGTAACGGCACGCGAAAGTCGAGTTCGATAAAGAAAAAAGTTGTTTATACACAAACACTGATAAGCGATTATAGAAAGAAACGAATACAATTCTAATATGCATGTACTACGCGCATATTTATGTATAACATGGATAATTAAATTATTAACTTACCAGCATATTGCATGTCGCACATCAAAAGCTAGTGCTGAAACAAAAAAAAAAGAATTAGATCATTTCGCACGACGTCAACAACTTGGTTCCACAAGAGATGAAAATTCGATTTGTTCTTAATTGCGATCCTTACCCCATAGCGTTTTGAGATCATTTCACGTGGGAATCACTTTTACTAAGCCACATATGTTTGTAACTACATATAAACTATAAGCAAAGGATGGTTGTCCATTAGATCGACAACAACAAATTGACTAGAATGAAGGCACGCGCGCCCGCAGCATACGTGACGAGACAAGCATTGAAATTTCAACCTGGTGCATTAAACTTTGCACCGATAATCAACTGCAAGGGCGTTTTTAAAAGAAAGCATCAAATCCAAGTAATCAGATACTTGACGATATTAAATTTTGCATATATACATACATGTATAAAAATTTATATAAAACATGAAAAAGCCAACCCGAATTGTTAGTAATGTAAGTAATGTAATTGTATACAACGTGCAATAGTCAGTTTTCCTAGTCAGGCGTCGCATAACTCCTGCTCTTTGCGTTAAGATTAAAAATATTTGTAATGTCATTAAGAACTTAAATAAATTATTTATGTTACTTACTTGATCCAAAATAGAGTACGAAGTGACTATAAATACACATCTCTCCGGCACCGGATTTCCAACGTTCCACAGACACTTATTAAATCAAGACGCACGGTTCAAATTACGTATTTTCAACTTTTATATAATAAAATTCGATTCGTCGAATTAAAGTTTTAATAAACTTGCGCGAGCAGAGTTAATCGTGTACCACCCTGCATCAATAACAGACCGAACTTAACTGCAGAGTACAGTTTGTGCACAGGTAAACACAACGTGCAAGTTTTTTTATCGGTACGTTGTGCACTAAGATAAGAGATAAAGTGCACAATCGCGCTAGATCACGCCACTTCGGGCACCAAAACTTTTAGTTAAAATGTGCATCGAAGCGCCATCTCGTAATCATATCGAGAGTACAATATTAATTGCCTCATAAAGCTGTCTGCCCACAATATGTAAAAGGTTTGTTGATGGTAGTAAGGCGTTCGTGAAACGCGTCCACTTCACATGGACAGGAATAAAATCACGCGATGCGCATCCCCCTGTATTAATAAATAGACAAACAAACTTTTGAATATATATAAATAAATGTTAACTCTTATATGTTCATCATGACTCTATTTGATTTTACTACACAATTATTTATAATCTAAATATTTCCGTTTCGCTTATTCATTCCCTAGTCTCGATTTACAAACTACATAAAAATAAAATACTTGGTCTCGCTTAAGAGTATAAAATAGAGATTAAAATATAATTATCATTTATGACTAGTATATAATTCTCAAGTGAATTTGATTACATCTTTCCTGCGTTAAATCTCAGTGCTCTCCGCCGCGCGCCCAATCAATTATAAGAGTACAGTGACAAAATAGCACCACGAACTCATGGAAAATATCCTCGCATATAAAAATAATTAAATATATTATCATTAATTCACATCAATAGATTGAGATAATCATTGTAAATATTGTAAACGTTGTAAATAGTATATTCTTGAGTGGATGCGGTATTGTTTCGTTGACGTGTTTTCATGTATAATCTCATCAAAGTAATCGGAACCTATGAATACACACTTACCAAACTTGTTTTTGGCACATTCGCGGAGATTTGATTCTTTAGTTTTTTTGGTTTGAGTTAGTTTTGTTTTTAGTCCCTCGCTTGTGTTAGAAATAATGTTGTACCAACTAAGATAGCCTATGACTAAGCCCTATCTATATGATTAGATTTAGATTAAATATGTTTGCTTACAAATGGAAATGATTAGCATGGAATGAAATTTAGAATTACATTTGTAGACGCGCTTCGCCTTAGCCCTATCAAAGACATTGCGATTAAAACGAACTTATGACACGAATGATTATGTAAATCAGCACCAAATAAAACGATGAATGAATTTTATGCGTTGTGTTCCTCGCTCTTGTTCTCGTTCTTTAGCTTAGGTATGGCATAGTTCTCTGCGTTGACGACAACATCGCCAACGGACGCAATGGAATCTGCCCGTTTTCGCTCTAAACTCCCACTGAACTCCGTACTCGAGCCCAAACTAGAAGTGCCGAATTTAGGCGGAATCGGTGGTGGATTCTCCATTTTAGGTGACTTATCACCACCGCTTGGAGTAATATTTAGTTCCTGTTGATGTGTGCGCAGATCAAAGTCTTCGTAACAAGTGTTGTTGAAGTTGTTCAGGTTGGCATGATCAGTGACGCTTATCCCCGAATCTCGCAGATCGTGATCTTCTGCTTCGAGTTGATTGAGGCAGTTGGTCGAGTTGCTCATTTCGGAGGACTCCTCAAGCGCGATGTCAACGATAGATTCGATGCTGAACACTGAAGGAGTTGATTTTTTATGTCCGCGTTTCGGAATATTCGGAGGCGGATCAGTGGGTAACGCTGGCGGGCGTTTGTCAGGAGTGTGCGAACGTGGCGGAAGAGGTGGTGCTTCTTCAAAAACACCATCGGGCCACGAGTTTCGGTTGGGTGTGGTCGCTTCCGTAGGGGTGGCGATTGAGTGCCGTAAAAGGCGTGGAGATGGCGGTTTTGTCAGGGACCGCTCACGAGTATGAGTTGGTTTTGGTGGTAAAGGTATATCATTACCTTCGGAATCCCTACAAATTAAACAAATAAAGATCACACAAGTTTTGAAATAGTCAAAAGTAATTACCTTGATTTGATAGGTGGTAAACTTGAGTAGTCAGCACTACCCCTCGTTGGAGTACGCGCTATCTCCATGTAGCTGTTGCTAAAGCCCTGCGAACGAGGCCGCGCGTCGCGTTGCGGTATCGGTGGCGCGTTAATTGCGCTCGACATCATCGGCAGTGTTAGATTCTCGCGACTGAATGTCCCCTTGTCAACTTCCTACATACATATAACATCACACGTTATACGCCAATGCATTAGCAACATTAAGCTTTCAAACCTCCATGCATGTGCTTGTTAACAACATTTGTTAGTAGTGGTATCATTCGCAATCAACTATCAACTAGAAACTCAACTAAAACTAAATTTTGCACAATCATAATTATAAAATTAGTTTTGTTAAAATAAATAAAATAAAATAAAGCTTTAACGTGCGTGCAAAAAGCGTGCAGATCTAATTATAATCTAACTAATGGTCTAACCATCGGCTTGGTGTAATGGTCGTCGTTGTCGGTGTAGGATTGCTCGACCAAGTGCCCGTAGTTGCCGCTTGAATTCGACGACCGATTGCTTTGATTGTCTGCTAAGCGCTTGTCAGTCGGAAGGGGCGGCAAAGGTGTACTACATCGAGAGAAACAAAACGGATTGAGTAAACAGCCAGCAATGCGCACAGCCAGCAACAGCAACACTTACTTGACAATACTTTCAGATTGTTGACGCTTGAGAGGCTTGCCAATAATGCCCAAACTTTGTCGCAATTGTGCAAAACGTTCCACCAAACGTTGATGCAACGGTTGTACGCCGGATGGCGCCAATGCTCCATGGAGTGATAAACCATCTTCTATCACCTGCATCGTTTCATGAATCATCGTCTTCAAGGTATACACGTAATTAAGATGTTCCGGATTCAACTTTGCAAACTCCTGGGTGAAGAATGCTTGTTGATACTTGCTAATGCCGCCTTGAACATTAGCGTCGATGATGCCTTGTAAACGCATCGTGAAAGGATTGAGATTTCTTCGATGATCTGCGTTGTATATTGTAATGAGTAGTCTTAATTCTTTTTCCACAGCCTGCATAGTCTCACAAGCATATTTTACAGGAGGAATCTCTTCGGTTTTTCTATCTACCACTTCAAACCAACGTAAAATGCCCGGCAAAGGACATTCTATTTCAAGAATTGTTCTTTCAATCCACAATGTCTGCAAATAACAAAACAATTAAAAAAAGTCGTTAAAGTCGTTTAAGAAGATTAAATCTTTACCTTAATCTCGTTTTCTTTGTCAACAATGCCTTTGTGTACGGGACGATCACATTGAAATCTTCTGACATCGTTGTAATGATAGAACTTTGCAATCTCTTGAGGTATATCGTTTGCAAGCGTAATCGGATTCGCTTCTGGGATTGGTTTTACATTGCTAATTTGTATAACTAAATACAAAATCAATAAATCAATATCGGTGTGCAAGTCAGGTAATAACATATTTTGTATTTAACTTACATTGTCCATCTGAGTTAATAACTGAATCATCTGGAGGAGAATTCTTCGTTAATAGTTGAGCCGACGGAAATTCTGTTTGTAATCTCTGCGTAAACGCAATAATTCGTTCGTATTCTAATCCTCGATAAACAAATTGTTTATTCTGAAAATATCAGGTAACAAAAATTACAATATTCAAAGTATAAACATGTAAACATGACTTACTCGGACAAATAGTGGAAATCCAAGCCCATAAAAGCCGACCCGAAAGTATTCCGGCTCTGGACGGAGTTGTTGTAAAATGTTATCAAAAAACTTCGCCTCCAACTTGAGAATGTCACTGAGCGCTCGATAATTAAACATTTGATTTTCGTACAGTTGTGCGAGCTCCTTCAATAGAGGTATTCCCTTTTCCCAACACTATATAATAATTAAACAAATAATTAAATAATATTTAATGTTGATTTAGTGCACTACAAACCTTCCCACGATCAAAATGGTTGATAATCTGGCGATACAATTGTTCCTTGACTTTGCACTCAGTGTACCCGCTATATTGAGGATCGGACATGATTAATTGGTTTGTCCAGCTTAATTGATCCGCATAAAGCTTCATTGTGAAACCCGCTTCTGTATAATTCTCCGCGGATAAATGTAGGTCGTGTAGTTTGTAAATATAACGCAGATACATCTCCTTGCGATTGAATTCATTTTTATAGAAGTTCAGTAGATTAAACGTGCAAGACATGCGTTTATCACGATTCTCATCGCCCTGAATAACACTGCGGTAATCAAGGAGACGCTCAAGAAGTCGTGTCACCGAACTGATGAAAGCTGCACCACTGTCCTTCCATGTGGGATCTTCAGCTTGCACACGATCTAACAACCTATAATCGAGGATAACATCAATAACATACATTTAAAACATAAAACAGGATTATCAAAAGGGGAAAACGTGTGCTTTAAATGAAATGCATTGCTAGAGAGACAGTTACAACTTGTTAATGATTGTTCAAGTGTTTTACTTACACGGCGCTCAGATGTTCCCTAATCATGAGAGCATGAAAGTGATGTGTAGAAAGAAGTTTGTTAGTTTAATAGAACCGATTTGAGAGCCTTCAAAACACTTACATAGTATTAAACAGTTGGCGGTACTCATCGTCGCCCTTGTTTTCGGATATCAAAATATCCAACTTGTCGATGAGCTCGCTCTCGACCTGCCTAAAGTTACCGCGTGACTTCTGCTCGCATTCCATCATATCGAAGAAGATGTGCAGCGTCGCTTTGCGTAACTCGATTTCAGGCACGAGTGTCACCTCGAGGAACGGACCTACCATCGACGGAATGAAATGGAGTTTGTGCTCGCCTAGCTGTGACCACATGGACAAAATCTGGAAGCCCATCAATACCCGCATGTCTCCGTACTTTTCAATAATCTTTTCCCGCTTTACTTCGGAAAACTGCTCTAGTTGCAACGAGGATTGTGTGAGATAATCCACGGCAAGATTAAAATAACTCGTCCACAGTTCTTTGTCAAAGTAACCGCCGCGCGTGTCGAGGAATTTGAAAGCGAGCGGCTGTGCGAGTTCCTGCAGCGACTTTAATATGACATTGTTGGTCACCATGCGGATAATCAGCCAGTCGGGCGGGAAGACTTGCTGCTTGACTAGATTGCGAAAGACGAGGAAGACACGCATGAGGAAGTCTTTGAGAGGCTTGCGGTCGTGTGTTGGTCCCATTATGGTCTCCCACAACCGCTTGTAATGGAATTCGTCCAGCAGCTGCAGCAACCCGACTAGACCCGCTACAATTCCGCCCTGGATACATAATAAAATAAACAAATATATAACACATGTAAAAGAACGTTATTTAGGTTGCAACTTACAATTACTGCTGTTTCTTTGTCAATTATCACCAGCACGGTGTTAATGATCACGTCAAATGTACTAATGCAAAGAGTATCAACATCGTGGTGTATGCAGTTGTTGATCTTGCCCAGCTCCTCGGCCTGTTTGCGTTGTTTGAACAGGAAGCCGAGTATCTCCGCTAAGATGTCGGAACATAGTCGCAGTTCTTCTCGGCGGATTAAATGATTCCGCAAATGTTTACACACATGCGTCAGGAGCACATTACGTGATTCTGTCGGGAGAAAAAAGTTAATAAACCTAAATCAATTGATCTACTTATTCAACGTACCATCATCATGAAATAGTTTTCCCTGCATCAAAGTTTTCATGAAAAACAACTTCGCTTTCGTAAGTTGAGCTTCGCCATCCCTGGGAGCGTCTAACATGGTATTCGCCAATTTGGTTACCTCCAAAATAGGCAAAATGTCCACCAGTTGCTCAAACACAACTCCAATATTCATCAGCAACTCAATCTGTGAATTGATTATAGCTGTCTGTGTCAGTCCCAGCATAGTATTCAGTGAAATAAACACCAAATTCAAATCCCGACGAAAACTGTCTTCGAGTTGACCACAACTAGCGCGCGAAAACAACAACCGACTTTGTATGATCAGTTTGAAGATAGACTCCAAGCTCTTGAAACACTTCAAAATCGGTTGTTGTTTCTCAAATGACAACACCCAGTCAGCACAATGCTGAACGCTCGTCAAAAGTCCCCTGGAAAATAAACAATGAAGCATTTCAAGCTTTAAAAAATGGCTACCACTTACTTGTAAACTAACGCGGCGGCAAAATGGTCCTTAATATAAGCATCCAATACTGGTTTAAAATACTGAAACTTTGACTCATCAAGCAGACTGAATATGGAGACCAACACGTGGAAGACAAGCCCGCTGTGGTTGGTAGAATTGCCTTCCTCAGTAGAGAACAATGCAAACAGTGCATCCAATACATCCTGCAAGAACTTGACCAGTTCCTCGTCACCTAAACGCAAAACTTTCTGCAGAGAGTCCTGGATCTTCTCCGGGTGCGATTTCCAGCGTAAAAGTGAAAGCAAATCGGTGTTTTGTGTGAGTTTGGTAGAACATAGAAGAGTTTTAACAATAACCACTTCTTTATGGCTACGGCTGAACGCTCCTGACTCTTGATTGCCCTCCAGATCTTTCCCGTGACCTTGCAACATAAGATATCCACAGTTTTCCAGTTTGGCGGCATCCTCGCACTTGTAAATAAAGAGTTCGTGATTGGCGTCATGCACGGCGGCACCGTCCTTGTCCATTAACCGCACGAACGAAAATCCAAAGAGTTTCTTGTCATTCTTTTCACGCGTGGAGCAATGTCGGTATTCAAGGCGTACGTGCGCGCCTGCGAACTTGTCAATCGGCAGCGTGAGTCGCACATTCTCGGCCCAGGCGGGTGAATTGTGGTGATAGATGATCATAGACACATATTCCGATTGACCCTCACATCCGGAAGCACCCCAGAGACAATGTTTGATTACATTCTTCTCGCTATCCAACACAATAATCGTCACCTCGATGTTTTTACCGGTTGATTTCCCTCCGCGTTCAAACTCGCCTTTTTCAAGGATCAAATACAGATCGTTTCTAACATCACCAGGCATAATAACATCAGCAAAACCCAATTTATTAGTTAGTGAGATATTTTTGAATAACAAAGGACTGTCCTCCTTGATTTGAGATAGTTGTCCGTGAAGCATCTTCAGAGAGATGATAATCCCGTAATTTGGTTGACAGGATAACGGGCTGTATTTACCAAGCTGCTTGATGAGATTCTCATGTAGCTGATGAAAGTCCTTCTCCTCACACTGGAATACTTTCAGGGTAAACTCCCTTTCATCAGACTCACCCTCCTTGTGCATCAGCAAATCACTAAGATTCTGGACGGCGACACCATGCGGCCGCTTGAAGACCTGCATGGTGGCGGTCGGGTTCTTCTCGGCTTTACGCGAACTCTCCGAATAGAGCATCTTACCGATTCGCATCACGTGCGCAACAATGTAGATATCCTTGTTGAGGTCAGCGTTGCCCAGGTCGGTGAAGATGGTACAGTTGCTGTGCAGTTTCTCGATATAGTTCGAGAAGCCCTCTTTGGATATCTTGACTAGGAACCTTTCGGAGATGTAGCGATGCTTCTTATCATCGAAGAGCGAGAAGTATATCTCGGTGTCTTCACCGATGTGGTGACCGAAATCACGCATGCAGAAGTACAAATGATGAGTTAGAATCTTCTTTGCTTCTTTGCGTTTTATCGTGCCACGTGCCTAATTCAAATTTATTCAATAAAAGGTTTAGTGAGATAATATATAAAGTACGTACAGATGCGCCTTTGGAGTTTTCAGCGCTAAGGACGTGCACCTGGTGGAGTTCCACGACTGACATCGTATCAGGATCGACCATTTGCGCTCCTTGGCGAGGAACCAGGTCCAAGCCAAGTTTTCTATAACATTAAAAATGTGTGGCATGCTTTACTTTTGTAACTTTTATTAAATATACAAAATATTAATGTGTTTGGGGTGATAAGAGATTAGATTGATTGAGGTAACATAAAAAAAGCAAAAAAAGAGAGAAAATATAAAGAAAAACTTAATACTGTCCAGTATAAACCAATAATGTAACTGGCATGTCTTAAAATGGGCTTGTCACTGACCACAAGACAAAATTTTAAGCAATAAAAATTTACCGGAAATAACTTCAACTGTGTCAGATTACTCATAGGAATTTCCATTTTATTTTATAATTTCTACCATAAAATTAATACGAGTACATTCATCTGGCAAACATAAAACTTAGTAAAGATAAAGCATAAGTCAGCCGAGATTTGCAATCATCAGCGCAGTCATAAACTACACTCGACAGCCTTGCGTTGTTCTTAGGCCAGGTAATAACTAAGGTGCATTTCCAACTCGTGGAATCTAATTAAACTCAAAAGCGGCCAGCGCCGTAGCAAACGTCTTTCAATAAGCGCGACGCGCCTCGCGCCAAGAGAAAAAATATTCACACGCAGCAGTAGTGCATTACGTAGGAGCAAATAGCGCATTCTGAAGTCGTACGGTTGGTTTCTTCAGCCAACGCGCGCAGCGCCCGCGAGAGAGGTCACGGGCCCATCCTAATAAAATATGCAGTTGACACGGTGTAAAACGTAATGAATACGTTAGCCTTCTGCGAGTTCAACGAACCGCCATCATGCCTCGGCGACGAATTGCCGCAAAAATTCAAGCAAATCGACGCAGACGCCGCCGAACATTCGAACCATATGATCGCCATCGGTAATCCAATAATGACCACCGCGTGCCACCGCACGCCGCGCCATATGTGTATATTCATCCTTTTAATTGCTGCGCGCCGCGAGATTTTTCTCACGCGCGCTCGTTTTGGATTTATTTCTTGCGTCTCGGCCGGCACACTACCTGCGACTCCCCCTCTTACACGCGTTCGCACTCCCCAGCTTACGCGAGCTTGACTCATATAAGAGGAATCCACTTCTTCGCGAGAACATCAATCATAGACCTTCTGTGTAACCGGTAGTCGCAGCCGGACGGATACATCGAATGATAGTAATAATGATAGCACTCTGTTCTACTTGTTCGGCGCATGTGAAAGGCGCATTTTCCTTGAGCGTGATTTTTCTTCTCCAAGCGCTTACAAATGCAATGGAGCCGCGAGGCTTTAATTGCATCGGCATTACCGTAAAAATCCACGCTCGGGATTTCAACTCGCCGAAGGTAACAAAGAGCAGTTATTGACATTTAAACTCGCATGCGTTTCGATTCTCCATCACAGGTAGCCGAGTGCGGCTGGTGTGGGACCTGGGAAAAACGCATTCTCCGTCCGCTGAGCGAGCGCTGACAAGACAAGAAAGGCCCCGCGATGCCCGCGATGGTAAGACCGGTCCTGTTGTGTCGCGGCGCGCTTGTTTCTCATGTCGGCCCATGAGCCGCTGCACGAGCTCTTCTCGAGGCTTATGAAATCGACTGTACTTCTTTAGGTATGCAGACCGGTTGTTACCATACGCTTTACAGGTGAGTGGCGCATCCGCGAGGAGCAGAACCTGGACCCACTTGCGAACATTCCACGATTATACTACTACTTGTCTTTAGCAGCCAGCCGGCAGCCCCGGCAATCCGGGGGAACTCCGTTCAATTCGAATAGCAATTATAGCAAAATAAACTCAGTTCAAAACATATTTATCACAAAGGGTGCGTTCGTAGTAATTTTCGATCTTTTTGGGGTTGAAATTACTACCTGAAAAACCAGTAGCGCTGATTTGCGCCTGCGTCTAATTCAAAAATCATGAAACTTATTTCTGAGTGATTTGAACGCCCGGGACGCCGTGATCGGAAGAAAGTTTGACGATTGCGTCGCCCAATTTGGTCATAGCCACATGCTAATATGGGGTACCTCGGGGTACCTCTTCTCCATCATATTCTTGGCACCGTCTGGCTTTATTCCTATTCACAAGAACAAGATTTACAACATGGTGGTCGGTATGGCCGACGAGGCGCGAGGTTGCCGCTCCGCGCGTGTTAAACAAAGAAGCAGCCAGCTTGGGCCCCCACTAAATAGACTCCCAGCAGTGTGGAGTGTGGAGAATGTGTGCTATCCGCTCCGCTAGTGTGTCGGCGACAGCGACGTCGGTCGTATGACAAAAATGTTTTAAACGCCATCGGAGCGCTCCGGAGAGTACAAATCATTTCTACCATCATCTCATATCTATTCGTGACACGAGTGTGTTGCGCGTGCGTGCAATATCTGTGATAATTCATCAAGCGACGACCACTTTGGGATTATTCTAAAGTTTGAAACATTCGTTAGGACAAAGGGACAAAGGTAAATATACTCGTTTTCTACTGGCAAGCCGCTTACTTAGAACTCGACTGTGTGGCTTCGGTTAAGTACACTCAACTTAACTTAAGCACGCTCACCGAACGCACACAGAACAGATACAGTTAAGCTACACAGTAGAAGCTAACAATGAGATCGATCAACATGGAAGAAAGTTGTGTGTCGTTGACACAAATTCCTCGATTTGTCTAACAAGCGAAAAACAAAAACGCGTGTAATTAATGCGTTTCGAATGGTCGCGACGATGTGACCCTGCTGCTGGCCTGCTGTTTAGGTTCAATTTAAAGCAATTGTAGCAATCACACAGTGCGCATTGCTTGCTCTAATCACCACTGGTGACCTCAGAACTGGAGCAAGTTTTAATTTTAATACGATCTCGTGCTGTTTTTCAAGTTATCACACTTTGGGTGATAATAATTACGACTTGGCATATAAATCAAGACGCAAACATTGAGAGTCACATTAAATACATTAAACTAACAAACTTTAATTAGTAACATGTGTGTGTCAAGTCCACACATGAGAATGTGAGAGTTTTTTGGTTTATTTACTCAGCTTGAGAGTGGCAGCGCTCAGTAAATTAATCCTCACGATAAGATCTCATTCAGGTAAAGCTTCTTGGAGCGAAACACAAAAATGCATATAAGTTGCAGTAAAATGCAAAGTTTTAAAGCAAAACAAACAAAAAAGAGTTATAACTTAATCGTAGGCTACCTGCCAGTCAGGCACTCCTGCGCAAGCGTGTTTGCATGTTTCACCACCGTGGAATTTCATTGTCCGTGAGTCTACTTTACTTTACTTGAGAATCCAAGTGACTCATGATCACAGCGAAAAAAAACATTCCCAAATCTGTATTAGACGCACGCTCAATGTTATTCTTTGCAAATCATTAATTATATCGGAATTTTTATGTCAGTTTACGCTAAACGCTATTACGTGCGTTATGAAGGTCATAGAATGCAATAATATTCAGTATAAAATAAATGCGCATAACAATCTCTCTGTAAAGCACGAAGAATTTGACTTTGCTAAAAATTCATTGGATGCATACACACCGGACGTGCCCAACTATCATTGTTGCATAACATAGCGACACAATCCAAAGTGTTCTTGCCCGCAATATGCGTATTCATCGCGCGTTCGCAATGCTAGAAATGCGAGATTGCAAGAAAAGCGGCGACATGGCGTAAACTCGCGAACGTATGCGCCGCGCGCGCAAACTGCATAAAGTACTTAAAGTAAATGCACCATTGTGAAAACAGGTTTCAATTTTATTTGCAGATTAACACGTCGGAGACACCGGCGTGAAATTCAAAACGAAAACCACAGCAATGCTTAGTTTTACAATTCGAAAACTTTCAAAGTTCTAAAGTTTTAAATATAGTCATGATTTACGATATAATAAAAACAATTGAATCTAGCACACCTACCAGTTTAATAGCGCTGATTATGCATATCAGTAAATATATAAACGGCGAGATTGCGCTAACAATGTACGTTTTTTAACGAATATTTCCTTTTGTTTCAGCATTAATCAATCACAATGTCCGTCTTTGGAATGGTCTCAGCGGTGGCGGGCTTCGTCAAAGTCCGCTACCTAGTCGACAAAGCCGTGATAGACAATATGGTGTTCAGGGCCCATTACCGAATCACGTCGGCCATCTTGTTCAGCTGCTGCATCATCGTGACCGCCAACAATTTAATCGGTAAATAAACGCGCCCCAGCGCAAAACCGCACAATACCTATATATATATGTGTGTGTATGTGTGTTTGGTGTGGTTTTGTTAATTTGTAAATTTGTTGCTCGTTGCAGGCGAGCCGATTCAATGCATTAATGACGGCGGCGTACCGATACACGTGATAAACACGTACTGTTGGATAACGTACACGTTTACGCTACCGAACGAGCTGCACAAGCCGGTGGGGACGCACGTGGCGTTTCCGGGTCTCGGGAATGAGCATCAGGAGAAGAGTTATCACAGTTATTATCAGTGGGTGCCATTCGTATTATTCGCACAGGTAAATACTTTAATATTATAATAATTAAAGTGAAAATAATGATTTTCTGTTTTTATTTTACAGGGAATTCTATTTTATCTGCCACATTGGATCTGGAAAACTTGGGAAGAAGGCAAAATCCGTATGATTTCCGATGGTATGCGTGGAGCACTCGTTGGCAATAAAGATGATCGCGCTCATCGTGTTAGTCGTTTAGTACAATATGTCATTGAGAGTTTGCACTTACACAACACATATGCATTCGGATACTTCCTCTGCGAAGGCTTGAACTTCATCAATGTGGTAAGTGTTTAAAATTCAACTCTGAATGAACTGAAGAAATTAAACTGAATTTAATCCATTCCAGATGGTTAACATATTCATGACAGACAAATTCCTCGGCGGCACATTCTTAACCTACGGCTCTGAAGTGATCAACTTCTCGAATATGAATCAAGAAAACCGTACGGATCCCATGATTAAAGTCTTCCCTCGTATCACCAAGTGCTCCTTCCACAAATACGGAGCTTCCGGTTCCATTCAGGAACACGACGCTATGTGTGTCCTAGCGTTGAACATCCTCAACGAGAAGATCTACATCTTCCTCTGGTTCTGGTTCATCATCTTGGCAGTTCTCTCTGGATTAGCACTGGTTTATTCCACTGCGGTTGTGTTACTGCCAACTACACGTGAGACTATCTTACGAAGGCGCTTCCGTTTCGGCACGCCGCAGGGCGTGGACGCTATCATTCGCAAAACACAAGTCGGTGACTTCCTACTGCTGCATCTACTCGGTCAGAATATGAATCTCATGGTGTTTGGTGAGATCCTCGACGAGCTGGTTAGACGCCTCAACTACGGCAGCAACAGCAATCTCCCATCGGCGCCGAGCACGCTCGAAATGAGTCCCATTTATCCGGAGATCGAAAAGTTCGGCAAGGAGACCGAGACGTAAGAACTACACCATTGAGAACTGCGCGATTTGACATCCGAACAGAAGACACGAGGACAAGAGACATTCTGAGCGCCATAGTATTATTAGATCTCTCGCCTTTCACTATTTAAATCGAAATTAGGTTTTTTTAACGAGTTTTACGTAGGTCAAGATGAAGCAAAACACGTACGCGTAGTAGGTAAGAATTATTGTGATTATTATAGCGTTTAGGTTTAGGCGGAAACACACATACACACACCGGAAGCTGGCAACACGTGCATACGGCTGCTATGCATACTGATATTTCGTCAGCGTTTTACAATCTATTATTTTTTTAGTAATTGAGAGATGTTTTGCTTGTAATTTTAATGTTTTTTTTTTCGTTCATCTACTAACTTAAGACTGTACGACTATTTTTATGAATATTTAAGCGTTTTAGTGCCTTAAATGCCGACAATAAATTAAAAATCATAAAAGTATCAGGTTTTAAATTATTTACCACCAGATAATGGAAAATATCAACAAAGTAAAGGAAAATTCAGCTGAGGAAGGAAGTATTATTGTGGTGTAGAATATTCATACAATAATTAATATCATACGAAACACCACAATGGTTTTTTGAAAATATTACGCGATTAAATAATATGTTAGACCATTTTTAGATCCAATGAATAATTTCTGAGCGAAAAAAATTCCGTATTACGAATACAGAGTGAAAATCCGTTGTGAGAGGAAGACATAGCGACAGACAATGCGTACTCACCGATTTCCCCAATCGATTTTGGCAATAATCTTCAACTTGAGCTCTTTGGTTTGGTCCTGGGTCAACGTGCCGGAGACAAGCTGCCGCCGCCACTCCAACAAGTCGCGCATGACTTTGCCAACCGTATCGAATTTGTACGTCTCTCGCTCCTAAAAAGAAACACAAAAAATAAACTATTGTCATCTCCGCAAAGCATAGTAAATCAAAAAATTCAATAAATAATCCCTAGACGATAATAAATCACACTTACCACAAAGAGCCTCTTCCAGATCTCGTTCCATTCCCGCAACACAAGCGTAACTTCCCTGACAACCGGATCTTCGAGCGGAACAACGCTCTCAAAGAGTCCTTCGTTATCTACCTTGCACGGCTTGAGGTGAATATACGCCTGCGGGAAGATACCCTTCATGGAGCGATTCTTCGTGGTGAACCCGCGATACCACCCGGTGCATTCCTCGAGGATCTGCACCGTCTCGCCGATCTCCAGCGGGAGGCCGCATCGTGAATCCCCGCGCCAATTATAAATAGCTGTAAGTGACAAACACTTAATTAATGAATCATTCGACATCATTTCCAAAGTAAATACAAAAAATATCACACAATGTAAAACGGGAAATCTAATTAAAACTATCTTTAAAATATATTGTTAATATGTGCTTTAGTCATATCCTCCGATAGTAAAAATAGCCGCTCACGATTTCATGTCCACGTTTCAATAAAGTGCGCATAAATAAAATCTGTACCAAACGCTCTGTGTGTGCTTTCCGAAGGGGAATTTTCACAGCATATAATAATGATAATGCTTTTCGTTTTAATTGCATTTAATTTTAATCGTTCTTTGTTGAACACGTCGACGCTGATTAACAATGCGCACTGGAATCGTATAAAATGTGCTCTTGAAAAGTACGTTAATCAGTACGCTTCAACCTTTTGTAACCGAGGCATACCTGTGGTCAGACAAAAGAAACATGTGCAATCGTAATCGACTTGTATTCTTCCTTGTTTCGGCATTGTTTGTCACCGCATGGGCCGCATCAGCAAAAGGTACGCATTATCAAACAATGTCTTTAAAAGAATTTTTTTATAAACATAACAGTTTTTTATATTTAGAATGTAGAGATCCTCTGCAAGAATACAGAAAATGCCAATCATCGAGCTGTGTAAAAACATGCGCGAATCCAAATCCAACTATTTGTACATTCGACTGCCAACAGGGATGTTATTGCAAAGAGCCATACGTATTGGATCAGAGTACTAATCAATGCGTTGAAATCGCAAAATGCACCAGTAAAATTTTATACATGCGTAATTTAGTTGAAAATGTTCATTATTATCAGAATTACTTGTTATAGAATTGTGTCGAGAGAATGAAGTATACAAACAATGTGGGTACTGCGATGGCTCATGTCAACAGGAGCTAGTGAAATGTACAAGAAACTGTCGACCAGGGTGTTATTGCGAGGATGGTTTCGTTCGAGATCAAGGGAGGTGTATCAATCGCCTGCAATGTCCCATTCCATGAATTTATTTGATAAAGATTAGTAATATGCATAAAAATGGTTTTTGCTATTTTTTAGTCATGTTCAAATCGTAAACTAGCCAAAATAATATTAAAACGTAAATGTGAGATTTTTGTTTGTTTGTGACGCTTTCACTGGAGAACAATTCAATCAATTTTGATAAATTTTGGTATACAGACATTTTGGACCTAGGAATAACAAATAGACTACTTTTTGTTGCAAAAATATAACTAAAAGGGTGTAAAATAAGGGATAAAAGATGGTATGAAGCATCAATCACAATTATAGTTAAATAAATCCAAGCTAGATGGCGCTAAAGTGCATTATTACGATTTGATCTAAATTTTTGTAAAACACACCGAATTTTATGCTTCTATTTGCGTTTTAAAGCAATTTAATACTACAAAAATACAATATCTTTCATTTCTAACGTAAATAATCTAATACTTCACCTGCATAATGCCATTTCTTTATAATAAAATTCAACAAACAATCAAATAACTAATTAAACTACTTTTAATTAAAATCAATATTTTATTGATTAATATTTACTTAAAATAAACTATAACTAAATTCATGAAAATATTAATTTACTCACTCATCGTGCCTACGGATTAAATTATTTCATGATTTGAAATTTAATTATAAAATTCCGCTCGATACTTGCGAGTATGCATTTCGATTTGAATGCGGCGATAATTTCGCTCCGGGCGAATGCAATTTTCCGGCCGTAAACACATTACGTGTCGAGTTGAATTCCGCGCGTTGCATGCACGAGCGAAAGGCGAATTTGTCATAAATCCGAAGAACATGAAACTTGATGCGAACGATTATATCGCACTGTACTTTTACTTCCTTTCAAGTAATTTAAACCCTGGCACATTCGTACAACTTCGTTTATGCCCCTGTTTACAGCAATGCTGCGACTGGTGAAATTATAGTCGGAAGAGTTTAATAATAGATTCAAAACGTGTGCGAATTTATGAATATGAACTTAACCTTGGGAAGCATCACCAAAATAACATGTTTTATAGCTTTATTAAATAAATCTCTACATTTCACACGCCTTACAAAGCGAAACATTTGATATTCGAAAAATGTACAGTTACAAAATCATCTCTCAACAGTTACAAATCTTAAGACAGATGATGAATCTACCAGGAAAATTGTTTACGTTTATATTTTAAGAAACCAATTCCCATGTGTTCTTAACTACAAAAACCTGCTCGTATATCTGCAAACCTACGACCTTCCCGACGCGCACAATAAAATATCTAATAATAAATTCCGGACGAATACAAGACAGGAAATAATGTTTTCGAAAAAGCTACCTACGGTTATGTAAATGTGAATGCACACACATTGCGAAGGGGTTCACGAATATTCATGAATGAGAGCCCGAAGAAGACGAGCGCAAAGGATTCGTCGGGCTCTCTGAACCGGAAGTTGTGCGTCTGCGACAATCATCAGTTGTGCACGGCGGCGGCGCAAAGCGAGGAAATCAAGAGCGGTTATCAAGTAATCAGAACGAATTAACGCCATAATTGCCTTGAAAACATTCCGGTTCGCGAGTAAAACAAAACCGAAAGTGATTTCATCGCATTAATCGCCGAAAAACACGCCAATAAACATAAATATATTAAATGCACGTTACCCTTATCGAGGGGAGGTCAACAGATGTAATTACAGTAAATGCAGAAAACAAAAATGCAATTCACTAACAAGATAAGCTTTTCTAATCGATTTCTAGGCGGCAATTGATTCACACACTAGATTATTTTATTTATTTCGCACTTGCTCATTATGTTTAATTAATAATCAAATGAAACATGGCACTTAATCACTCGGAATCCTAGTCGCGTTGCATTGCGCTTAGAAAATTAGCACTTTACATAACTAAACCGCCGCCAGCTGATTCGTTCGTCTCACCGCAATTAGAATTAATTACATTTGTTTTAACGATCATAAACAAACGCCAAGCGATTTACACATATGCATTGGGATTTTGTTTAACTATGACGATATCTTTAAGTTGCAGTAAATAAATAAATATAGAGTAAGATATAGATAATAGTTACGAGTACGTACCAACGCCGTATTTGCGCGTTTTCGTTGGAATCCACATTTTGATTTATTTAAACAAACTCTCACATTTTTCCGACACGGCACTACACACTGACTGATCAATAGAACTCATCTGTTGTGTTCACCATTGCGTTCACTACGCGAACTGTCAGAGGAATCGTCGGTTTGCAACGCGAGTGCTGGTTGGAAATTTACTTCAATTACCACCAACAGATGGCGCACGTAGTACTATACAGAAATCTGTAATGCTTATATACAAAGAATGTGTACGAACAAGTTTATAATTATAAGTATTTGGTATAACGTCTAAAGAAAACGTTAATCTATTATTGATACAGGATGATAACAATATTATACGCAAAAAATGATGATTTACTTGTTTTATTTATTTAAATGTTCGCTAACAATGCTAAAATATATGTAGAATCGAAAAATACACAGACCTGTAATAAACATGTTAAAATGTGTAACTTTCTCTTCCGAAATTATTTTCTATTCCATTAGTTCGGTTTTGTTTGTACGTAGTTAAGTAGAATAAAATAATCATCTTATTAAAAACTCTAGACCTTCACGGCAATAAACACACTTAAAACAAGGTGAATTTAAAATTAAAATGTAGGTATAATCGATAGGTTTAGTTGCGAGCTCGCGCCTTCTTCATTGGAATTGAATCAGATGTGTTCAGTTCGTCTTCGGATCTAAGTCTGCGCTTAGAATATCGTGGTTCTGGGGTCAGTGTCATAGTTTTACTATCAGCAGCAAACCCTACCTTCTTGCTCACCTTAACAGTGGTAGTTTTGACACCCTTCACTTGTCTGGTTTTAATTTGTACAACTTCTTCCTCTCCTGAAGTTGGTGTTGATTCAACTTTGCCTCGTTTACTACGTTTCACAGGTGTTGCTGCTTTTGTTTCCGCGGGAGATGTTCGTTTTGTTGATGACTTCTTAGTGGGTTCTTCTTCAACTTGTGGTGATGTTTCTTCAGTGGTTTCTGCTTTGGCTCCACGACGACGTTTGACCGGTGTGGCTGCTTCTATTACTACGTCTGGGATTTTCTGTTTTCCACGTCGAGGTGCTTTTGTTTTCTTTGCAGATTCTTCAGGGACAACTGATGACTCGTCATCTTCTTTTGTTTCGGTTGCTTTGCGAGTCCGGCTGCCCCGCACAGGTTTCTCTTGTACTTCTGCTGAAGTATCAGCTTCTGCTTCCTTATTTTTCTTCTGACTTTTCGTTGTTTTCTTAACAACCTTTGCAGGCGTGGATTCTTCTTCATCTACATCTTTTTTAGCAGTAACTTTACGGCCACGTCGACTGGTTGTTTTAACCTCGACCTCTGGTTCATTTTCTGACACTGCTTCCACTTCTTCTGTAGATTCTTCTTTTTTGTTGGCTGCTTTTCCCCGACGACTTCTGCTAGTTGCTTTGACCTCCTCAACTGATTCCTCTGCGGATGTTGGAGTTTTCTGACCCCTTCTAGTTCTGGTTGTCGCTTTCACTGCTTTCACAGGCTCCGGCTCATCTGCATCAGATTGGTTTTTGGTTTCTTCAATGGATGGTGATGTTTTCTGTCCCCTTTTACTTCTAGCAGTAGTTTTCACTTTTTTAGCAGGCTCCGGCCCATCGTCATCAGATTCGTTTTTGGTTTCCTCAATGGATGGTGATGTTTTCTGACCTCTTTTACTTCTTGTAGTTTTCACTTCTTTAACAGGCTCCGGTTCATCAACAGATTCATCTTTAGTTTCGTCATCTTTCGATGCTTTTCCTTTACCCTTACGACCCTTTGCACTAACAGGAACTGCTTTAACAGGTTCAGATTCCTCTACAGTTTCAGATTCATTTTCACTTTCCACAACTTCCATTTCAACTGCCTTACCTCTACGACTTCTGGTAGTCGCTTTTACTTTCTTAGCAGGTTCCGGTTCAGTGTCCGTCTCGGCAACTTCCTTCTGAGCAGCCTTACCCCGACGACCACGAGTAGTAGACTTGCTTTCTGTCACTACTTCCTGTTCAGGCTCAGGGTCTGCAACAGATTCAGTTTCAGAGGTAGATTCCGCCCGACGTTTTCGAGTGCTAGTTGTTTCCTTGGCTTCAGAAGTATTTTTAGCTCCCCTTCTCGTTCGTGTGCTCTGTTTTGGAGTTTCTTCCACTTCTTCTACTGGTGCAACATCTTCAGATTTAGCATTTCTGCGACTACGCTTGCTCTTTTTCGCGGAAACTTCTTCATCTGCTGTTGCAGTAGCAGGTGTATCAACTTCAGCAGCCTTCTTTCTGGTTGTTCGTGTAGATCTACCCTTCTTTGACGATTGAACTTGTTCTTCAATATCCTCATCATTTTCTACATCACGTTTTGATTTGCGTGTAGGCTTGGTTTCTTCAGGAGATGCCATTAATTCAGCAACTCCCTCCACATCAGAGAGATCATTTTTAGGACCCTTGGTAATTTTAGGCGTTGCCCACAACTGTTTCAATCCTTGGGGATTAGACAAATCGTTTTTAGGCTGCTTCTGTGGTTTTGGTGTCTTAAGCAATTTTTTCAAACCTTTTGGACTGGTCAAATCATTCTTAGGTTCTTTTGTTACCTTAGGCGTAGCTAGCAGTTGTTTAACACCCTTCGGATCGCTCAAATCGTTCTTAGGACCTTTCATTACTTTGGGTGTGGCAAGCAACCGTTTCAAACCCTTGGGGCTTGTTAAATCATTCTTAGGTTCCTTTTGATTTCGTTTCGACTTTTTAACTACTACTTCAGATTCAGCTTCATTTGTATCAGATTCGTTCGATTCCATTTCCACCATGCTAGCCTTTTTCTCAGACTTTTTAACTGATCTGGCTGGTGTTTTCGGTAACAGCTGCGGCGTCTTAAATACATTATCTTCCATGTTTGGCGTTGCATTCACCTTCTTCGTTAATTTCGGTGTAATATCTTCAGCTATGCTTGCCTTCGATTTCCTCTTTGAAGCAGATGCGCCATCGTTAGCATCAACAACCATTTTGGGGTTTTAATTTCAGGTACATCGGATTTTCTTGATTTTAAAGATTTCCTTGATGACGAAACTGTTTTGTCAGTAGACTGATCATCATCGGCATCAGGTGTTGCTGTGTCTTCATCTTCATTATCAAATATCTCAATGCTCAAATCTTGATCAATCTCTGCTGATTTTATTGCGCTCCTACGTGTAACATATTCTTGAGTTGATTTCCTACTGCTCTTTCTAGATAGTACTTCACCAGTCTTTTCAGATTCACCATTTGTAAGTGTTTTCCTTGCAGAGCTCTTCCTTGAAGGTGGATCTTGAAGAGAATCGTCAGATTCACTGATTTCAGGTTGTAGGTCATTGGATTCATCAGCTGGTAGTGAATTTGTTTTGGCCAAAGATTTACGGATGCTTTTTCTTGATAGAACTTCCTGTGGAGTGTCTTCTTGTTCTGAAGATTCAGGTTTGCTAATTGTTTTCCTCACACTCTTCCTAGATGAAGCAGTTGTGACTACTGAACTATCACCATCTTCATTCTCAATAGTTACTCCTTTACCCATGGACTTTCGGATACTTTTTCTTGGTTCGGCTTCATTTTCTTCAGTTGAGTCAACTTTGTTGAATGTTTTCCTCACACTTTTCCTTGAAACGACAATTTCTTTAGGAATATCTTCTTCATTTGAAGTTTCCTCCTCCTCCTGGTCATTGGAATCTTCCTTAGCCAATGACTTCCTAGAACTTTTCCTTGAAGCAGTTGATTCTTCCACAATCTCATCATGTAAAGATTCATCATGTTGAGTTGCTTCATCTTCAGATGATTCAATAACTTCATTCAAAGACGTATCTTGTTGAGATGTTACTGATTTATTGAGAGTTTTCCTCTTATTTTCAGCAGAAGACACAACCGAGTCATCAATCAAATCGTCATCAGAAATATCATCATTTGTATCGTTGAGAGTGACCACAGCAACAGATGTATCAGGCTTGCTTAGTGCTTTCCTCACACTTTTCCTTGAAGAAACAACTGGTTCTTCGGATGTTGATGGTTCTTCCTCAGCAACATCATCTACATCAATAGATTCAACGTTAGCAACAGATTTTCTAACACTTTTCCTTGAAACAACTTCATTCGTTGATTCATCATGTTCAGATGGTAAATCTTTTTCACTCTCTTCAGAAGAATCAATTGGTGCCTCTTCAATCACTTCTTCACTGTTAATATCATCATTTACCTCAGTGTCAGCGGAGGCGATCTTAGCCATTGACTTTCTAACACTTTTTCTTGATACACCTTCATCAATTGATTTACTTTGTTTAGGTGTTTCAATTTTGTTAAGAGTTTTCCTCACACTCTTCCTTGAAGAAACTACTGGTTCTTCGGATGTTGATGATTCTTCATCAACAACATCATCTACATTAATAGATTCAGCATTTGCAACAGATTTTCTAACACTTTTCCTTGAAACAACTTCATTCATAGATTCATCATGTTCAGAGGGTAAATCCTTTTCACTCTTTTCAGAAGATTCAACTGGTGCTTCTTCAATCACGTCTTCATTGTTAATATCATTTACCTCAGTCTCAGCCTCAGTGGAGACGACCTTAGCCATTGACTTTCTAAAACTTTTTCTTGTTACAGCTTCATCATTTGATTTACTTTGTTTGGGTGTTTCAAGCTTGTTAAGTGTTTTCCTCATACTCTTCCTTGAAACGACAACTTCTTCTACTTCTGGCACATCTTCTACTGTTTGCTCTTCATCGGATTCGATAACAATTGAAGAATCATTGTTAGCAGCATCAATAGCCTTGACAGATTTTCTTGAACTTGAACTCTTTCTAGACGATACAGCGGGTTCAACGTCTTCAACCTCGAAAATATCATCATCTGCATCATTCAATTCTTCATTAGCCAGGGACTTTTTAGTACTCTTCCTTGAAACCACTTCATTCACGGAGATTTCAGATTTATTCAGAGTTTTCCGCACACTTTTTCTTGCAGAAACTGCTAGTTCTTCAGGAGTAGATTCATTCTCTGAATTCTCCTCTTGTTCTTCAGCATCATTTGTGGTCATATCTTCAATAGCTTCTGGAGCGAGTATTGATTTCTTTGAACTCTTGGTAGATGTCACAATAGGTTCCTCAACTTCTTCATAAATAATATCATCTTCTACTTCATTGGAATCAATCTTTGCCATAGACTTTCTGGAACTCTTCCTTGACACCACATCATTTGCAGAATTATCAATTTCGGATTTTCTGGATTTGCTTGGGGTTTTCCTTGTACTCTTTCTTCCAGAAACAGTTGGTTCTTCAATCATATCAACATCATTTGAATGTTCCTCTTTGTCCTCAGATTGAACAGCAGCTAAAGATTTCCTTGAGCTCTTCCTGGAAACAGCCACAGGTACTTCCACAACTACTTCTTCTACAGATGTATCATGTTCAAGCACTTCACTGTTATTAAGAGCATTTTCAATGTTGCTTTCAGAAGTAACATCGGGATCTTCTGGCATGTCTTCATCACTTCCACCTTCCTCCTTTTCTCGGATGGAACCACTGACTTTCTACTACTTTTCCTTGCTACTATCTTCGGTTCTTCATCAACAGCATCTTCAACCGCTGATTCTTCAACATTTTCTTCTTCAATAGATGCTTCAGGTTCATCTTCTTCATTTGTTTCACCGACTTTCTTCCATTGAACGGTGATGGTGTCGGCATGTAGCACACCCTCGGTTTTACGTGCCTTTCTGTAAGCTTTAGGCGCGGTCTTCGCTGGTAAAGAACGTCCGCCCTTCCTTTTAACAGTCGCTGTAGAGTCAATTGTTTCCACGTCTTCATTTTCTGCTGGGATGTTCATTGTCACACGTTTAGACTTTCGTGTAGACTTAACAGCAACTTCAGCTTCAGGCTCTTCCACTAAATCCTCTACATCCTTATCGATATTTTCATTGGATAAATGTTCAACCGAATGCTCCACCCATTTCTCAACTTCAGGATCAACATCTACCAAATATCCCTCAGTTTTCCTACTGGCGATCTTTGAATTCGCCTTGGATTTTGCCGGAAGAGATCGTCCATATGTACGTGTTACTTTCATAATCGGGAAGATGTCATCCTCATCGTGATCCAGCGCACTCACGCCAGACATATTAAACACACTGGTAACACTACTCTCAGCATTCTCTTCTTCAACTACTATACTCTTCGCTACCGGAGTTTTCATCAATGATTTAACACCCGACATGCTCACATCATCCGTATCTTTCTGTACCTTGGGTGTCTTCATTAAACGCTTGACACCAGTAAGACTTGCGCCTTCGTTGACAGCATCTTTAGATACTCGTGGCGTTTGCATCAATTTTTTCACACCGCCAACATCAGTTAAATCATTGAGTGGTTCCTTCGGCAATTTCTTTGCAGCCTCGACCACTGGTGAACCAAAATCAGCGTTTTCAAAAGTAACGTTGTTCTTGACATAGAGAAATGATGACGTATCCACTGTCTCACACGTGGTATTATTCGACTCGGGCTCGTTTTCTTGATTAGAAATTCTGTCCGATAACGAACGCCTTGTGATAGTACGCTTTGTTTGTTTGGGTTCTGTCATTGCTTTTCTTGCCAACAAATTAACAGCTGGACTTGCAAGCATTTCGGAATCTTCTCCTGCTAAAGCTTCTAAATCGTTATCGCTTGATAAGTCTTGTGAAGTGAATGAATTCATTTCAGGCAGAGTAGTTTCCTAAATTTAAAAAAAATTAAATTAAATAAAACTACACATAAAATGTTATTAATAACTTACTGTAACGACTTTCAATCGCTTTCTAGAAGCCTCCTCAGTTGAAGTATTTGAATGTCGCTTGCGTTTCCCGCCAATTACCAAATCAGACCCACTAGTTGTGGTCGTATCCAACACAGAACTGGATTCTTCATCAACATCCTCTGTGCTAGTCTGTTTGAAAGACTCTTCTAAGTTCTTCGTAGATTTATTACCTGCCGGAGTAGAAGAGATTGGACTCCCGGCGCTTGAATTAGGCTCCTCAATAAAGACCTATTTGACTTTTGCTTGGTTGCAACTCATTGCTTTCAGAATCAGTTTCTGGCGCTGAGCATTCATCTGCTGATGAATCTATGACACTTGCAACGTTACTTTCAATAGCGGAATATCCAACAAGCAAATTAGTTTTATGAACGCTCATTGGCGTCTTCAGTGCAGTTTTAGGCGTTTTCGACTCAGGCGTGTCCAGAACAACAACACTCTCATCATTCTGAGTGAGACGTTGGATAGATATATCCTTTGCTTTGGATTTGCGACTACGCAGCGGTGTCACATCTTCCTCAATTGGTGAATCAACAGTTATCACTGAAGTGTTGTTTAACGGCGTAGTTAAAAGATCTTCATCATCCTTGGTAATCATTTCCGTCACAGGCGTTTTGAGTGCCTCTTCTCGATCAACGGTAGACGAGGAACTTTCACAACCTTCTGGTTCGACGTAGGACATCTGAGAGAGATTCTTGAAGATTGCAGAGTGGCGCAGACTCGGTCGGATTGCACTTCTCGGCGTGCTAACCGTAAATCTAAACACGACGAGAAATTACGCATTAAAATCACATTTTTAAGCTTCGAACAAAAAGACTAAACATAATACGGTCTACAAGCGACGTAAAACAAGTCGACCACGATCGGAACAATACATTTTACACAAATACATGATGAAAACGACAATAGAATCCTAATAGTACTTCTAGCCTTACTAATTTCGCAACTAGATACTCAAATATCAAATAAATACGACAGAAACAAAGTAAAATAATAAATATACCCGTCGACACAACGCAACCTAGTAGTTTTCGTCGGATGCGGAGTTTGTGGTGTCGAAGTTTTTAACCATTGGATATTACAACCATCATCCGCTAATCTAGAAGTTGTATAACACACCAAATGCTAGCCCATTCTACACCACACACGATTTACTTACGCTTTCCGGGCTTTATCCTCCGGCGATTGGGTCCTCTTGGCATCCAGACTTGCTGATCGACGAGCCTTCAAAGTTTTCGGTTTTTCTGGTCTAATGTATAATAACATTTATGTAAATAGGAAAATTGCAGAATATGTAAACAAAATGTACTTACTGGGGTGTTAATAAGTTACGTTCCAGCACTGTAATTCGTTTTAATCTCTTTAAACGCTCGATATTCTTCAGCTTTGCTTCTCTGATAATCTGAATAAATATATATAATAATGTGTCATAAAATGTTACTATAGGAATGTATTAAAAATTGAAATGTGTGTTTGAAACATAACATCATGTATTTTATGTCTAAGTTTTAAAACTTGTGTTCGGTGGAAAATTGTGGATTCGCATTTGGAAAAAAAAAAACTGTTTTATCATCAAACTTTGTTGATATTTTTTGAATAAAATTCTAGTTTTAAATATTTTTTCACTTATGATGGCAATTACATATATAAAATTCTTGAAATTGATCAATTGAAGAATTCGCATAAAAGTGGCTAAACAGAATAAGAACTGTGTTGGCACTTGAGGAAAACTATGTGATAAAAAGATTAGCAATAAAGATACTATTGCAAAGTCAATATGTGAATTAGTTGATATCCGTAGTAAAGACAAATAAATATAGACAAACATCTATGTTTTCTAGTGAATAATAAAAACTAAAGAAATAACAACTAATGCAATTATGAAATGGCCCAAGCAGAATAAACATTGTAAATTTTAAATGATTTAAATATAAATCGTCGTGAACTTAGATCAAGCATAATATGTGAATCATCATTTTTATTACGACTGTGTTTTAGAGACACGGCTCAAAACAACCACGCAAAATATTAAAAAAAAAAACATATTTGGATGCTAATAGACATAAAATTGATGATATGCATAATTACATATTAAAATTAAATCAATCAAATTCAACATTTAGACACAGGAATAACAAAAATGTTACTTCTTACCTCTGGCTCAAGAGATGAATTTTCATACCTAAACCTCTTCCCCATTACAGAAAATGTATCATTGGGCAATAGAAACATCTCAGGTGCTACAGATTCATTATTAATGGGTACAGGATTCTCCTTGCTTTTGTTAACAAGAGTAGCCTGGAAAACATAAGTACAAATAGGTTACAATCTACCATGGTGCATATAAACAATAAAATGCATATTATGCTATAGGTTCTGTTGTGTTAACTTACAAGCCCATTGTTTTGTATCCGCACGATGCAATGAATGGGATCGACATCATCGCGGCACACTTTAATAATCGCCTTCGGATCAGAGCCGATCGTAAAATTAGAGCAACTCAACGGAATCTTTGTGTATTTGTCGCCGACACGGGCGAACACCTTCAAGACCCCCCATTTGCTGCTCGAATTAGTCGTCATCCTGGATTGTATTGTTTCTAGCCAATCACTATAATAAAACCGCAAATTTATATATTGTGCAATATGTGTAGTCCAGCTTCACTTGGCTTGGTTTGACTTCAACGGATTGGACAAGCGCTGGAGTTGTGTCTTGGGTTAAACGACGCATCACACCAAAAGTTCGTTAGGTGCGATGTTGGAATATGAATAAGTAATAAATGTTTTACGTACCAGAACAAAAGACATCTTTACACTTGAATTTATTTAACGATGGAACACTACGGCACAGATGAACAAAGGGTTATGACCGAGCACATTCACAGCGTATAGGTACACAACTTGTTGCCGCCAAAAGCTTAACGGAAAATAAACCGGTAGCGCGACGCGACCGATGCTTATGCTCTCCACGACGTATTAACCGACGCAGTTGCAAAGCTTAGAGCACGCAGGGTTGCAACCGTCAGTTGCTTTTGAATATTTTTACTGCGCATGCGCAATAACATGTAGCTAGGGAATTTCTTGAATAGAGTGAATGCTTTTGCAGTTTTATTAACAAGTAATAAAATAATAATGACTTATAATTAATTAAACCATTATTTGTATTTTTGACACAATAAATAAGTTTTCTGAACAAATATCTAATTTATTCAATACAATACATGAACTAAATTTTAAAAATGTTCACTAGCGGCTTGTTATTAAACTAAAACCAATATTAGCAAAGTTCACAATCTAAACTGTATTGTTACGGATGTCAGTGAAATGTCAATCACTTTGCGACGATTGTTGTATTTGTTTAGAATTTTTGTTTAACTTGCCAAATAAATAAAATAAAACAAAAGCGAAGCGTAAACCAAACGGTGGGTATTACAGCCAATCATTAAGTGCACTTATTGCCAACAAATGGATATCACTTTCACTTATAATATGCAATGTTATCACTATTTTATCTTTAGCATTTGCAGCCATGGCTCACTCAAGTGTGGTCCCCAGCGGCAAACGCAAAGAAATCTACAAGTACAATGCGCCATGGCCTTTGTACAGCATGAACTGGTCAGTGCGACCCGACAAACGCTTCCGGCTTGCGCTTGGCAGTTTTGTAGAGGAATACAACAACAAAGTACAGATTGTTTCACTTGATGAAGAGAACAGTGAATTCACACCAAAGAGTACTTTTGAGCATCCATATCCCACAACAAAAATCATGTGGATACCAGACAGCAAAGGAGTATTTCCAGATTTACTAGCAACTAGGTAATGGAATAAATTTTATCTTTAAAAATCACAATCAGTTAATAATAATTGCTTTCTTATTGAAATTTAAAGTGGTGATTACCTAAGAGTATGGAGAGCAGGTGAACCAGACACACGCCTTGAATGCGTCCTTAACAACAACAAAAACTCCGACTTCTGCGCGCCGCTCACAAGCTTCGATTGGAATGAAGTGGACCCAAACTTAGTAGGCACCTCATCCATTGATACAACCTGCACAATATGGGGATTAGAAACCGGGCAAATGATCGGAAGAGTAAATCTAGTCTCTGGTCATGTAAAAACACAACTTATCGCACACGATAAAGAAGTGTACGACATTGCATTTTCACGCGCTGGTGGCGGTAGAGATATGTTTGCCTCTGTGGGCGCAGACGGTTCAGTCCGTATGTTCGATTTAAGGCATTTAGAACACTCGACCATTATCTATGAAGACCCTGCGCATACACCTCTACTACGTCTTGCGTGGAACAAACAAGATCCAAATTACCTCGCTACAATCGCAATGGACGCCTTGGAAGTAATAATTCTGGACGTGCGAGTTCCATGCACGCCTGTCGCAAGACTGAACAATCATCGTGCGTGTGTGAATGGCATAGCGTGGGCGCCACATTCAAGTTGTCATATTTGCACCGCCGGTGATGATCACCAAGCGTTAATCTGGGATATTCAGCAAATGCCCAGAGCTATCGAAGATCCGATACTTGCTTACACTGCAGCCGAAGGAGAAGTCAACATGATTCAATGGGGCGCTACGCAACCCGACTGGATTGCGATATGTTACAATAAATCACTGGAAATCTTAAGGGTGTAATGTGTAAATATTTTCTGCTGGCTTTTAATTTATGAATTAATTTAAATGATAAGTTTTACTTATTTGTAAATCCAATTAATAATGCAATTTGACGATTTTGTATCAGAGTTTGTGTGAATATGATTTACATTTGTTGTAGAAGTTTAGAAATCTCAGAACTACAGACTGATGAAATAATAATCAATGCGATACAGCCATCGATGAATACACTGTGTCGCTCTTCATTTATTTTATCAGTGTCACAATATATCACAGTAATACAATATTTTACATTGTAATATGTAGCATTATATTACAAGAATATCGCAGTTTTGTATATACCGTAAAATGTAAATCAAGGAATGAAGCGAGAACGCGTCATTGATGTATTTATAAAACAAATGTATTTGTATCTTGAATAGAACGAGTAAAGGTAAAAATAATGTAATATCTGCTAATATTAATTGTATTATCGCGGCATAAGTGGTTAAAAATGCGTGAAAGTCAATCAAAAATTATGATTTTATATAAATTGCATTGAAAATTAAGTTCAGTGATTAAATTTATGAAGATTTCATTGAAAATAGTTTTTTTAGTCAAATTTGTTAGATTTTATGATGTCAAACATTATGTACAATCAAATCTTTACAAAACTAAAGGCAGAACTTAATTCTGAACCAAATAGAATACAATTAGTTCACAGGAAACTAATTTATATCAATTACTATTGATATATCAGTCATAATCTAATTATTTTACTTTATTCTGTAAAATTAAGCAATTTTTTGCAAATTTATTTACAATAATCATAGTCAAGTCTTAGAAAACGTAACACTAAGCTTATAAAACTTTTCTTGTGACTGAAACTAATAGCGCCTTGAAAAATGTGAATTCATATCACTCTTACCCCTCTGAATGTTATTCAAATTGGCCTTAATTCGACTCTCGACTGTACTGGAACTCGTCGATTTGATATACTGCTTCCTTGCAAAGTCCTCATCGAATTTCCTCTCCTTCGCTTCTTTCTCATCTTCATCCCGATACCGTTTGATATTTTTCGACCGTTCAACGTCTTGTTCCTGTGCATTTTTTGCATCTCCCGTAACATTTCTTCTTTTTCCGCTGATGTCAATCGCTTAGATCTGTGTTGCTTCTTTTGCGCGACTAATTCCTCTTTCTTCGCTGCTAGAGCTTTGGCTTTTCTTCGTTCAGCGCGTTCTCGTGATGTTGAGCGAGATCTTCTTGCAAGCTCTATCTGCGTGCCGTCTGATTTGACTAAACCCCAGTTTTGTATTTTTGGTCGTCCGCCATTATCATCGGAATCGTCCGAATTATGCCGATGTCGATGAGAGTAATCTGGTGGTGGACGTTGCGGACCAATTCTATTAGTTTCTCTAGAATTTGATTGGGATCGAGTTCGGGATCTACCTCTGGATATTGAGCGGTTTTTATTTCTAGAGCGGGACTCATTTTCTTTATCCCTACGATGTTTTTCTTTTCTGTCATCGTCTTTTCTTGATTTTGAACGGTTTTGTTCTTCACGTTTCCTGTGAGCATGTTTATTGTCATTATCTGAGTCGTAGTTCTTTTTATTTTTATCTTTTGACTTCTTCTTGGAGATCTTGAACGTTGTCTACTGTTATTTTTAGCATCATGTCTTTTACTTGTTGATTTCTTCTTTCTTTTATCATCTTCTGAACTGCTATCAGAATCTGAATCTGATTCAGAATGATTTCTTCTATGTTTCATCTTTTTCTTTTCACTTTTCTTTTTGTTTTTATATTTATTCTTTCTTTTATCATCTGAATCAGAAGAAGAATCGGAATCACTACTATCTGATTCTGAATCAGATTCCTTTTTCCTTTTCTTTTTATTCTTCTTCTTCTTTTTGTGTTTCTTATCCTCTTCAGAACTGCTGCTACTTGAAGAATCAGAAGAAGATTCTTTCTTTGTTTTCTTCTTCTTTTTCTTGACTTTCTTCTCATTTCTGATTTTATTTTCTTTAATTTTCTTTTTGTTTCTAACATGTTCATCAGAATCATCTTCATCACTTGATTCATCACTATCAGAATCAGTCAATTTACCATCCATAATATCCCTTAAATCTTCTTCAGTTAACTTACTCTTCAAAGCATTAAACTTATGCATCAATATAATGTCTAAATCTTTTTCCTTTTTAGCCTTTTTATCAATTACATTGTCATCCAAATCATCATTATTCTGTTGTAATAATTTCAACTTCTGAATGAGAATCTCATCCAGATATTCCTTCTTCTTCTTTTTGGACTTTTTCTCCTGTTTACTCAATGCTTTCTGTAATTTTTTCAACTGCACAGGATTCTGCAAAAACTGCCTTCTAGTTTCCTCTTCTTTTTTCTTGATTGTCAGAAGTGGATCTTCCTGTAACTTAGCTTGTAGATCAACCTGTTCAGCCAATTGTTGTTGTAGTTTATAATCACGAATCGACGGCGGAATACACTCATGTTCCACATGATTTTTTGGAGGAGCAGCTGTACCCAACTGCTTTTGTTTCTCTTCAGCATTCAATTGTTCCAATGACTTATCAACTGTACGCCCTAGTAAATATTCCTCGCGATCCACCAGACTATTAGCACCTTTATACATCCAATCCAACTTCTTTTCGGCGTCATTTTGATTAAACATCTTCAAAGTTCTTCTAATCAAACACTCCGCATAGGTTTACAACGTTAATAATCACAATATTTGCAGGTTAAACTTCTCTGACAGTTTAAAAACAGTGACCGCCTAACCTCCACCACTTCTATTTCCAATAGTTTTAGTGAATAAAACATAAAATAAAATGAAACTCCACTGGATACAATCCGCCAAGTCAAATTTGAAGCATTTAAAACAAGTTACTATGTTACAACACCCATTTACTACGTAAATTCATGTAAGTGCTTGCATAAATATTTTCTAGTGCGAGATTCGATGTGTTACGATTGCAGCGCCACACATTGGCCACTTATATAGTTCCGTCATCGCTGACACCGCATGCAGATGGCAGCAGCTGTACGGAAAGCATGAAAATTACAAACTCGCCACCGGCACCGACGAACACGGCACAAAAATTCAACAAGCCGCCGCACAACACAACACACCGCTGGAAACTTACTGCGCGAATATCTCCGATAAATATCGCGAACTCGCAAAGGTATTCAGCGTAAATTGCACGGATTTTATTCGTACGACTGATGCTGCACATGAACAGGCTGTACAACACTTCTGGGTGAGTAATACATATTTAATTTGATGAAACATTTGATGATGTAATTAAACCGGCTTGAATGCCGGAAAAGATTAACTAAGGATTGAAGTGCGCGCCATCCGTTCGGCGAATTATTCCGTTTGTGGTCTCTTCGAGAGGGCGCACACATTGCACTCTCATGATCATGCTATTAAATTAAGTGGATCGTTTAAATTTAACCGGAATCACTTGCGATGCCTATCGCCTGAGGGTGGAATGTGTGGTGTGTAGGCTTACGAAAATTGCCTAAATAAACAATTGGGGGGCAAATTGTTCACAATGGACAAAAATTCTATTCAGAGTGATGATGTATTCTTACTGTTATTCGAAGTGGTGTTGATGAAAGTAATCAACTTTTAACAAATAGTTTGCGTGCTTTTTCCTTTGTACTCGTGTGTATTTTCAAAACTAATTTACGTTTAGTGAGAATGGCGCAGTGCGGTCGAAGCAAACAATTCCCCGGAGTCGTGCAAGGATGGAGCATGTGTGGTTTGCAATATTTGTATTGGGAAATGAGGTGGAGAAAAATCATTGAGGCATAAATTTTTAAATTGCTCTTGTGGGGATTTGAATGTTGGGTTTTCACGAGGTATGTCAATTTTGGAAAAACTATTTCGTGTAAATTTACCCAGGGGTGCAATAAAATTCATTAAGGAGAAAAAACTTTCACCAAACAAATAAAAACCCTTAAAATTAAGAACTTAGCCCATGTTTGTGTTTTTATAACACCTTTCGATGTTTCAATCGCACTTTTAGGTGTTACGGGCCTGCAGCTTGCGTTTTTACGTTTCTTACCCCCACCACTTTTTGCTGGTTAAACATCGCTTTAAAATGCAAGCGCTCTGTGCGCACAGAGCTCAGTTGTGCCTGAAATTTCCCGAAATCAACTGTAAATCAATTTTTTCTTTCTCTCGCTTTTGTTCATCAGTTACTCATTTATAGCGTCAAATTATGCCCTTTTATTCATTTGGCAATTAAGTTTCATTTAATTAGATAATTTTTCCTATTACTAATAAATATCATGATCGTGTTTTTGAGCAAATTACTAAGTATATTCACAGATTTAAAAAAAACTTTTCAAATAAATGTTTCCTCTTTACCAAAAGTAGAAACTCATATTAACATGCAACAGATGCCAACTTTTAACTACATAATATTTTAACTCGACTAAGATTGTAAAAGGACTACTCCTCGAAAACTAGAAACAACTCTGATAAAGTGCCACGAAAGTAGATTGAAGTACGTGCAATGTGGCCTGTGGTATCTCCAAGGCATACGACGCAGAAGGACCAAACCGATGCACATAAACTTTGAACACTTCTTATTTCGACAACTTTACTCCACCACGAGTACCATTATTCTCGCCTCTCTCTACTTAAAATTTAATTCTAATCTCTTACATCACCCGGAGACAATAAATTGAACATTGAACATGACGTCATTATATTTTCTCTCCGCCAAAAAATAAAACTAAGCAAATTTGTTCTCGAAGCGGGCGATCCGAGATAATGGTCACGTCTACTCGTCGAAATACGCCGGCTGGTACTGCGTCTCGGACGAAACTTTCCTGACAGACTCGCAGCTCAAAGAAGCACCCGCCGCTCGCACCGGCGAAATGATAAAAGTTTCGGCCGAGAGCGGACATCCAGTCGAATGGACCGAGGAGCAGAATTACATGTTCGGATTAAGCAAATTAGCCGATCAAGTCAAACAGTGGATTCTGAAAGGTACGTGCGCCTTCTTTCGCGTTCATTTGCAGCGTCTTGCGCGCTGTCGAAGAAAATGGCAAAGTGGTGGCTAACTTTTTTGCAACTTTCAACGTTTCAACTTGGCACACCTCGGGCAATACGCTGCTGTTATATTATCTTTGACATTTTGTTATTAGTTTCGAGTGTTTCGGATTAAATAAGTTTTATTCCGGGCTTCACAATGATAAAAAATCAATAATGAACGTCAAGTCAAGTTATTTTTAATTTCAGGCAAATATTTAAAAATTTTAACTTTTATTAAGAAGTATTTTTGGATTTGTAATGTTTTTGGGGATTTTTTGATGCAATATTAGTATTTTTTCTACTTGCGTCTTTAAAATGCCATTTATCACGGTTTTGAGGCACAAAAATGATACTTTAAGCACGGCTGTTACTAAAGTAGTTAATATAGTATTTTGAATTCACAATACATTAAAAAAGGTTAAAATTAAACGTCAATCTAATATAGTTATTTACTTAAGCGTTTTTATCATGAAAATAAAGAGTTTCTGCCACATTTTGACGTTTGTAGCCCTCTGGTGGTCAAATTGAAAAGTTTTGCAATGTATTTTTAGTTGCCTAATTTATTCCCTTCATGAAAAGCTCTATAACTTAGTAAATATGCTTTATACATATACAGAAACTCAAACAATACAAACTTCAAAATTAAAATTTTGTTTTTTAATGTTAAATGCAAGGAAAAAACTACTCCACCTAATTTTAAATAATTTATCTCCTAACAGATGACACAATCAGACCGAAAAAATTCCAAAAAATCTTGCTGGACATGATGGACGAAGGAGTGCCGGACGTGTCGATCTCGCGGCCGACGGCGCGCGTCCACTGGGGCGTGAAAGTGCCCGAAGACGATACGCAGACCGTTTACGTCTGGCTGGATGCACTGGTGAATTATTTAACCGCCACCGGCTATCCGCACCCCGAGTACACACGCCACTGGCCCGCCGACCTGCACGTCATCGGCAAGGATATTTTAAAGTACGTACACGAATTCTCTTTTCACAAAAGAAAAACGCAAACGGAGAAGAAAAAATTATAGAGATTATGATTTATTGAGGTGGGTGGTGAAGGGATGGCACTAAATTTCCACAAGCGTCAAGAGCAGCCGCTTAAAACACGAATTATTCATGTTTTCAATCTGTTTTAGTATTTTATGTTTACTTTAACAAATTATTATTTAATTTAAATCAAGAGACATTGGTTAATAATAGGCTTCGAAGGAGTATATTATTTTACTCGTATCTTATGTATGCGCGAGTTATAAATTGTTTAGTTTGCGTTTAATGTTTAATTACATACGAAGTCGAAGTTCAAGTTGTGCGTTGTGGTCGCATAAGTTAATTTTGCTTGTGTTTTCACATCGGAATACCACGAGGAGAGGACTTTCGAGGACTTTTGGGTCTTACACAAAACTTACTTTAGAATTTCTCCGCCAAAACTAACGCCATATTCCTAACAGGCTTCATAGCACGCTACTAAATAACAGATTTGTTTATTTGTTTGTTTTATCATTGTGATAAGCACTGTTTCGCAATGTGTGGACTTTTTAACTTTGCTGGTAGTGTTATTCCAGTATACCAAAGTGGTATATATGCGTATAATAACAGAGTAGCAGCAGTGCTAACTCAATAATTACGAGTTTGCTGTTGGGTCGGCGCGTCTAACGAGGATACTGCTTAATTAAACGGCAGCGCGGCTCGTAAATCTCGCGACGTTTTATGGTCTCTTCGTTATTGCTGCTGGGTCGTTTAGGAGTCAATTATTGAGAAAATATAATAGGCAGGAAGTATTTTTGTTTTGTAATTGTTTTAATGTGATTAAGGTTTAAAAGATTAATTTTATGATTGCATGAGAAATTCAATTTAATTCTAGTTTAATCAAAAAGTTAATATTTTGCCAAGTTAATTTTTATATAATTTTTATGTTTTATATATTTTCGTACTAGCTTTTGCCCGCGACTTCGTTCCGGTAGTGTTTAATTAAAATGTAATTCGTTTTTACTCCCTTGTTCTAGACATAGTATGTGTCAATTCTATCAATAAGAATCGCAATTTTATTTTAGCGAAATTAATTATATAAAGAATTGCTAATAATGCACTTCAGCGCGCCATCTCGGATTCAACTATTTAACTATAACTATGATTGAATCTCAATAACAACTTTTTTCTTATTGAAAAGGGCTGTCTTTAGGGTTTTCCTGCTAATTATTCGAATTTTTCTCGCCGTAAAAACCATCCTTGGACTTTAAAGAACATTTAAAAAAAAAGAATTGACCAAATTGATCAAGGCGTTGTGGAGTTATGCGCGTACCAACAAATTTTGCGATTTATTTTCAAATTATAGATTCTTAGTGTTAAGATATTACCAAAAATCATCCAAGACATCAATAATCATAAATTTACTCGATTTAATGATATTTAATGATGGATTTTCTAGAATTATTATTGGATCATGATCAACTGTATCAACTTTCATCCCTTATTTTACGCCCTTCAACTAATATTTATGCAACAAAAATTAGTCTATTTGCCTTTCCTTAGTCAAAAATATTTCTAAATCAAAATTTATGAAAATTAGTTCAGTGGTTTTCGCGTGAAAGTGACACAAACAAAAAAAAATTTTCTTGTATAAAATTCAATTGAAAATTTTGTAATAATAATTAAAAATCCTAAGAAATTCCAAAATTTTCAACCAATTAATTTTAATGGACGAAAAACTTATGTCGGTCAAAT